TCTGGGATCATTACCTGAGCCAAAGGCAGACAGACGCACTTAACTGACTGAGCCACCAGACACCCCACCTTTTCATATTCTGTTGGCTGTCTTATTCATGTGCTAGTTGTTAATCATGTTGCATATAGCCAATGCTTCTTATGATGTCATCGTACACAACAGAAGTTGTACCCAAAGAAGTTATGCCACACATCACATAGCAATGATTTGAAATCTCTTTGAGTATAAGGACCATTTTTTAAAAAAAGATCTTATTTTTTAAGCAATCTCTATACCCAGTGTGGAGCTTGAACTTGCAACCCTGAGATCAAGAGTCATATGCTCTACTGACTGAGCCAGGCAGGCACCCCAAGGACCACTTTTGAATGTCAAAATGTCATGTCACTCCCTTCCCTGCTGGACACATGCATAAACACATACATAATATTGGTTTCACTTTTACTCTATGTTATTTAAGAAAATCCATAGTGGAAAACAGTTATCATGACTGTAGTAAAGCTTTTTAGTGAATATTTTACTATTTTATTAACTACAATAGCATCTTAATACATCTGAAAAGTAGTAATGCATATGTGAGAGAAATTTTTTTCTATCTAGAAAATGAAGAAATGTGTCCTGTTTATCACTCTAAGTCATTTAGTTAGAATATTGGTGGTATTTTGCCCATAAAAATCCCTCATTTATTATGCATATTTTTAGATTTAAAGGTAAAAATGACAAAGATTGGTATGCATTTAATTTTTTTTTTTTTTGCTCTTCTTGTCTGTTGCCACAAGAAGGGTCCTGCTAGAACAAAGTAATCACCCAAGATGATAAAGCATAATAAATTTGGATGCTTCATATCAATTCTGAGCCTTAGCCCATGCTGCATATGATTATATCTGAAAATGTATGCAAATTAACAGCACATTTTTTTTCTCTTTCTGCAGACATCTTTATTTTCTGGTTCATGGGTCTTATTTAACTTAAAAGGAAAAAAAAATCATCTATAGCACATATCACTTCGTGGAGAAAGAGCTAAAAGTAAAATAGTCCCTTCACACAAAGTTTTTGTGAGTGTCTACCATGTGACTGGTAAGAAATCATTGGTTTCTTTCAACCGTTTACCACATGTTATCTATTGGCTTTTGGTGAGTGATGAATGCCAGTTTCTATGGATGCAGACAAGAAATTTTATATTGCTGAACTGCATTTAGACTTAGAAGGTTGACCCAGGTTCTATAGAAATATATTGTTCTTTGATAGGTATTTTCCTTTGGCTAACCATAAAAGCACTGTTGTTTCCAAGCATTTTTGTATTTATAAAGGATAAGCTGATTTGTATCTTTTGGGGGCTGGTGAATATTTTTCTGTCCATATGAAGAGCTGATCAAATAGTTACACATAGATTATGGGGAATAGGAATATAGGATTTGAACTTTGGAAATTGATATGCTTATCTTGATATGGCACTAATAGAGAGAGACAATTCACCTTTCAGACCCTAGCAGGCCTGATTATTTCAGCATAAGGGATGGCTACATGGAGATTTCATTTTGGAAATAGGATATAGGCACATCTCAGCTAGCTTACTCTGTAGAATATCTACTTTGGGCTGATATTTCTGGTTATCATAAAAGTCAAACTGGGATATGTATTCATCATTCAAATAAAATACAAGTCTTTAAAGGACTGTTTCCCTTGCTGTAGAAACTTACCATGCACTTCTGATGTTAGCCGTGTTTTATTGGGGAAGATTGATATCACAACTCTCTACTATGAACTTTAATATAAAGTATGTCAAAATATTTTCATCAATCATGAATCACTGGCCTTTCATTGGCATTTACTGTGTTCAAGACATTGCAGTTGACGATGAATATACAATCATCTGTGGTATGATGGAACGTGGAGTTTAAATAATGGGCTCTTTTTCATCCTCTTATTTAGCTGTCAGTCATACCCCATTTGGCAGTTACAGCTTGGTCATTTATTACTGTGGTGTTGTAAACAATACATGCCAAATTTATAGCTTCTAACTTCAAAAGGTTCCATATGGAGCAAGATAGAGACTATTCAAGAAGGAGATGACAACAGAATAAACAGGTTTTCAGCCTGTTTCCACCCTGGGTAAAAGATCCTTTGAATTGACAGAGGAATGGAGTCAGAAAGAGGAAAATTAGACATAGCACAGTAGACTTTGCTGTGCTCTCAGCATCCCAGTGGGGTTGAGGCTGGTAACATTTCTCTGAAGATTCTCAGGCATTCAAGAGTAGAGGAGACATGTGCTCTACTTTCCCTTTCTGAAACTTCGGAGGTGGCTGTCTCACTGATGTGTCTTGTGCTATCTTTGTACAGGGAGTGGGATAGAGACGGCCTTTATATGTGCCAAATGGCTGCTGAGGTATGGTCAATATTATAGAAGTTAAGAAAGAGAGGTTGTCTTGGTCTGGGTTTGTTGAAGAAAGTTTAAGTGTTTTCTTGCCTTAGCAAGTTCATGTGGGAACACAATATTATGTTGGCTGGTTAGAATTAATAAAATCTTGGGGCACCTGGGTGGCTCAGTGGGTTATGCCTCTGCCTTTGGCTCAGGTCATGGTCTCAGGGTCCTGGGATCGAGCCCCACATCCGGCTTTCTGCTCAGCAGGGAGCCTGCTTCCCCCTCTCCCTCTTCCTGCCTCTCTGCCTACTTTTGATCTCTCTCACTCTGTCAAATAAATAAATAAAATCTTGAAAAAGAATTAATAAAATCTTAATTAGTCTCAGAATATGAGCTGTAATAATCTTGGCTTCTCCCTTTTTAGGCTACATAGATAGTAAACTATCTATTTCTTATTGACTGGAGAATAGATAGAGCAAACAAACTTTTTTCTTCATCCTTTGGGTACTCTTTATTTCTTGAATGATTAAGCTGCTCCAGATCTGACGGTTAATAATTATCTTTTTTCTTCCTCCTCCCAGAAATCTTGAGGTAGCAGGAGTCCTGCTCAAGTTCTACCTATGTAATATGCAATATAGAAGAGCAACCATAGCCTCTAATAGAACAAATTCTAGACATTCCATCTTGGAAATTAGCCTGAATCCTAATAATCACTTAGACCATAGGGCACACATATGCCTTGTGGGCCTTTGTTCCTCCCATAAGTTAAATTTTTTCCAGATGTTCTTTGGTCTCAAAAAAAAAAAAACAAACGAAAAACCAAACAGAGCAATCACAGAAAAGGTAGTTCTACCATAAATTTTGCCTATCCCAGAAAATCTCCAGGTAAGAGCCTCCTTATATCCAGTTTCCATTCTAAGAGTGAAGTAATGAACTAAATTATAACAAGCCAATATAACTCCTTCCTTACTTTTTAATCCCATGCAGGTTGACTTCATGTGACTCAGAAAAACAGTAAAAATATTGCCATAACTGTGAATTATACCATGTGTACTAGAAATACTGACTATATTGTTTATAAAAGCTCTTGAGAGATGTTGCTTAGATTTAGTTATAGATCTTTTATATTAAACTTAAGTCCTTCAAAAACTATCAGTTATTTAGTGGATTTGGAGGATAATACAGAGTTGCATAATGTAAAATCTGAATATGGAATTTACATTATAAAATGATAATTACATCTGGCCCTTTTGTCTTTTCTATAAGAAATGGCATTTTCTGGCAGTTCTGTTCCTGGCAGAGTAACAGGTGGAGGTGTGACCTTTAACCCTAAGTAAGCAATTATATGACTACTTAATAGTAATCACTTTGCCATCTGCAGTCCACACTAAATTAAAAGACACCTGATCCTCAGTTTTGGCATGTGGCCCAAGCTCTGCCTTTCTTTTCCTAGTTCAGTAATGAGTGATCATTTCTACTTTGGCAATTCCTACTGTCAGTTTGATGGATGGAAAAACAGAACACTAAGTGTAGCCCCATTTACTCTGAACTGATCAGCTCCGCCCAGCTTTGTTCCCATCCTACAGAGCTCAGTTCTAAGATAATCCAGGCTTTCATGTTTCTTCATCCCATTTTGGTCCAGTAAATAGATAGACCACTTGCACTAAATTTTCACGGTGAGGTTTTCTAGTCTTGAGTAAAATTCCTTTGGGTTCTGGAGGGAAAGGGCAAAAAGCTTTTTGTGCACATAGATTGCTTTCCCTGTCTCTATGGAGAGATGAAGCTATCCCTTGATGGGTGTTAAAATAATGTAAGCATTCCACCCAGACCTGGATATGAGGAAAGCATTTGCTTTTTGTTCCACCATGTAGCAGGCTTTTAGCAGAGTAGAAAAAAATCAATCACATTTACTGAGAGTCTAAACACCTTTTTAATGTATTGCTCATTGCTGGTGCTGAAGAGGGAGGGAGGCAGAATGGAGATGCTGGCAATCACAAGCACCCCCCGACCCCTGCCTTTTTTTTTTTTTTTTTCCAGTTCCACAGATGTTTTGGCTTGAAAGTCTCCACTTTAAGGCTTTTAAAAAATACCCTCTGTCATATTGTTATAATAGTTATACATGAGGTATTTGAAATCCACCTTTACCTCCCTGGTCTTCTAAGTGTCTGGTTTACTTTCCTCTTCATATTCTGTTTTTCTATGTAATTTTTCTCAGTTCTGCATATCATCCCACATCTTTCCATACCAATGCATTTACTTTGCTGGATTTAAATGACTTGAATTTGTTGCCAATGTTACAATCATCCCTCGGGTACTTGGGCTGCCATACGTGCCTTGTGGGGTATCCTATACTCTTCAGTATAAAGTGAAGGGTGGGAGGCATGGAAGCTGTGACTCGCTGTTTCTGGCAACTCAGCCTTATGAACCGTATTCATGGGAATTTAAGAACCTGCTCTCTGGAGGTCACCCTGCTGCCTAACTACATATGTTGGAAATGAGCTGTTAGTGCAGAAACATTCTTAATTAATGATGCAGAGTGACTCGGCAGCCAGCCAAAATATGACTATGGAAACATTTGTAAAGGTTGTGTGACCTAAAAAATAAATTTCCCAAATATTAAAAAAAAACTTACAAGGATGGAATTCATTTGTACTTCATGAGCATCATGAGAGGGTGTTCACGCTTTTGTGTGACATGTGCCTCCCTCAAACTTTGCTATGACCTTGGCACATTATCTGTCTGACATGAAGAAAAAAAAGAAAAAAAGCTTACAAGTCTTGTGTGTGCATGAAATTTATATGTTTATACTCTAATTTATCAATCATATATAATATATATATTTTATATAGGGTATATACTTTATATGTGTATATCTATATATACTATCAATATGTGCTATCTATTATACTGTATATATAGTATATACTATGATATATAGGAATATAAACACTGTATATGTATAATATACTACTCTAAATATACTGTGTATTTACACATACATACATATTTACGATATATAAGTATGTAGTATAATATATGTTATATATATATATATATACACATACACATACACACACACATACACACATGTATGATAATTTCCTTCTTCTAGGTGTCTCTAGGGAAATGACTGTTTCTTTCCAGGTCAGCCGTGAATGTAAGGGTAGTAGATGGTCACTAATGGGGTGATGGATTTGGGCGAGCCTATAAAGATTTCCTTCAGACCCATCATGGACCTCAAATCCTATCAGTTGGATTTTATTCCTTTAAGTTCTGAAGACCTTTCAGCATGACATTCTTAAGTGCCAATAAGATTTAAATGTTCCTGGGAACACTTATCAGCTATAATCTGTTTGAAAGGATAAGGGAAAGGGAGAAGGGGTGTCAGGTGACAATTAGACAATAGCAAAGTCCTGGCAAAAAGAGTTCAGATAGATACCTGGATTGAGTAGTGGGACCACGGAGGGTTAGGGATGGGGCTCACAGATAGAAGAGGTGGAAAGGAAGTATCAGAGACAAGTTCACCTACTTAGTTTTGTAGAAGTCTGGCTCAACCCCACTTTTGTGTGTAGTGGGTGTTCACCCTGTCAAACAAGTATTTGGATGGTCTCTGAAGGGGAGGTAGAGTAATAACTTTTCTCTCCAAGCTAACAGCCAGAACCTTTACACACCCAAATAAACAGCCTTCCATGCCAAACATTACATTAGTTTATAGGTAGATGTCAGTGGTAGAGCTAAAACATTGCTTTAAAAGATTTCCTGTTGGCAGGGTCTGACAGAGGAACTGGAGGACAGTTTTGCTTCCCTGGGCCAACAAAGGCTTCTCAATGTTTTCCCCAGTGAGTCTGTTAAAGTTGTAATTCATCACATACAAGCAATTTAATGTGTTTCCTTGAAAGTAAAGTGTCTGGGACAAGGCTCAAGAAAGTAAAAACTTTTCCTTATCTGTTGGGTTTGATGGTGATTAGATTAGTGACAAAATCAAGTACTTCTTTAAGTTGGCCTCATTTTCAGCCTTTTATAATGACCTAGTTTCTTTTGTTAGCAAAGTTTGACAATTATTACCTTTCCCTGAGCATTATTAATGAATACCAGGCTAATTCTTTCTCTTGGTCAGTCTTATCCTGTACTTAGTTTGCAGTGCTGTATGTTGTCCCTGTGGTTTCCAGGTTCCAGAATTAGTGTATCCTACACTCCCCTTTTTTAAAATTTCTTATTGGCATAACATACTGACCAGCCCAGAAGGGTATGTGTCAAAAAGTAATGAAGATAATAGTAAGTACCTATTATGTGTCAAGTATTGTATAGAGTTATTTACAAACTTTATTTCATTTAATCTTCAAAGCAATGTTGTAAGATAGATGCTATTGTAACCTTTTTTTGTATGTGTGTAGATTTAGCCAAGATATTAACTTGTTATCCAGCATAACAAGTTAAATAACTCTCACCCTTACACAGAGAGAAACTGAGATTTTAACCTAGTTGTTGCTTGAATCTAAAGTCAGTTTTGGTTCATGATCTTGACTCTGTTCATTGGCCACCTATTGTTAATGTCTAACATTTCCATTGTCTCATGTGTAAGCATATATAGAAATATACACACTTTTCATGTGCCTAATACTGAAATATTTTCATGTGGTTCATAATAAAAATGCACAAAACAAGGCAGCTAAAATAATTGAAAATATGTAGAACAGTAGTTTTCAAATGACAAATTGGCATCTAGGGCCACCTGTGTGTAGAGGATTTTTGAGGGAGGCTTTGTTGGGAGGGCTCTGAGCTCTATTCTCAACAGCTGTACTTTTATCTGTTTTATGTATCGAGATTCCAAGTAATATTTTTTTCCAAACCAAAAATTCCATTGCTTTAAAAACAAAAGATGTTTCTAAGTCCTAATGTGTTATAATGTTGGAGAGATTTATGTTAGGAATTTGGGATGTCAAAGTTAGAGCCACAAGTTTCACTGAACTTTCTGGCAATTTCTGAGGAAAAAAGGAACTTTGTTTGTTTATAGTGTCCCCATGATCTTACTTAAAAAGGAAAGGAGGAAGGAAGGGAGGACAGTATGGCAAGGCAAATTTTTTTTGTCATTATTTGCAGGAGGAATTTATAATGTTGTTTCTTGTATGAGGGGCATGATGGACGGTGATTTTTTTTTAAAGATTTTATTTATTTATTTGACAGACAGAGATCACAAGTAGGCAGAGAGGCAGGCACATAGAGGAAAGCAGGTTCCCTGCTGAGCAGAGAGCCCAATATGGGGCTCGATCCCAGGACCCTGGGATCATGACCTGAGCCCAAGGCAGAGGCTTTAATCCACTGAGCCACCCAGGCGCCCCGGACGGTAAAGTTTTGATCGTGATTTTATGTAAGATGTTCTTGTGATGAATTTTTCTTTTAACAATCTTTGATGAAACCTAAAAGCATAATGTTAATAGAAGAGCATTCTTGGGGGGAGGGCAACAAAATAAGGTGTATGAAATGACATATTCACCTGCTTAGTCTGCCTCATGGAGTTGTTGCTGAAGCTTAAAGAGCTAACTTGTGTGAAAATGTTTGAAAACCTGTCAGAATTATCTAACTTTTAGATAGTTACATCATTCATTAAATCATACATATTATTGAGCTCCTACCCTGTGCCTGGCATTGTTCTAGGTTCTGGGGATGCTCATTACCAATCACTGTGGGTTAGATTTTAGTTGTTTACCCATATCTTTTGCAAATTATGTATTTAGTTATCTCGTACTTTGAAAGATAAGTTGGTTATTACACAAATAAATTGAGTGGGGCTTGATCAGTGATTCCTGGGCTGCTCTCAAAACATGGCATCCTTGAGTCTTCAAGTTGGAAGGTTTTATAGAGATTAGTTATGTGGCTTATCCTGCCAATATAAAAATTCCTCTCATAGAATTCCTGAGGAAGAGCATCAGAAGCTCCTTAGGTATCTAATTTGCCGACAGTTACTAGGCAACTTTGGATTTTAGAAAATTTCTTCTTTGTGTTGAATAACCTGGAAGATTGGAGAATAATGGAAGAGAGGGGTATTGGAAAATCCTCTATGTTCTTATGTTGATCACTTAGCCTTTTTAACTTCTGTTCATTGACCTTAGTTCTGCTATCAGAACCATGAGGTAAAGACTCTTGCCACCTTTTCACTTGATAGCCCTTGAGTTTAAAGATGTCTGTGATGTCATCCCTGAAATCGTTTCTTTAATAGGTTGAACATTTCCAGTTCTCACATTTTTCATTTAAGATAATTTCCAGACATTGTCTTGATTACCTTTGTCTGATACATTGTTTTGACAGTGTCCCTTTTATAATACAGCATGCAGAAATAAACACAAGTGTCCCAGATGTGGCCTACCTAATGCAATGAACTCCATTCTGGAGAATTTATGTTTTGTTTTCATTTTCTTTCTTTCTTTTTTTTTTTTCCAAAGCTTCAGATCAACTTATAATTGAAATATGTGTTTGTGAATAAACTCTGATCATATGCTGCCTCTCAAATTGTTAACAATGTTATTGTACAAACTTGTTATACCTAAAAATGATATATCACATGAAAAATGCTCAGATGAGGTAATAGGTATAGGCTCTCTTTAACTCACAAAACACTAAACAAATATGAGATGTCGTAACTACGGTCACCATATTATTGACATGTTGGCTAACTAAACATAACAATAAAAAAAAAGAAAAAATAATGTCTGTTCTGAAATCATTGTTGAAATACCCTTGCATCAATAGAACTTATTTCTCATTTTATTTAGACAGTTCCTTCCATTTAATCAAATGTTAAATTAACCAAATGTTCTTGGCCTTTTTTCTTTTTCTTGGAATAAATTAATTGGGCCTACATTTTTTGTAATTTAATGAAAAAGTAGTTATTGAGCACTAATCAATGTACTGCTAAAGCAGTTCAGTGGATAAGAAGAGATAGGGTACTCTGTCATCAAGGAGTCTTATGGAAGCAGGATGGCCTTCAGTAAAACTGTAAATTTGTCTTTGTCGCTTTCATTAAAATATTCTTTCCAAAAGGTGCTGACATAAGGGAAGAAGAGAAGGAACTCCAGTCTGGAAGGTTGGAGAAGTGGTGGATAGGTATATGTAGCAAATTTGTAATCCTAAGTGTTTAAATATTTGCATTGAAGTGACAGTGGGGACTTTTGGAAAACTATCCATTTCTAGAAGTGAAGGCAGAAACAGAAGCAAGGCAGGGAGAGCTTGACTCAGGATGCATGGTCTGGAGGATTGGAAGGGAAAGGGAAGAAAGAAAAGAGAAAGTACTGTGAGGGGAGAGTGTCTTTTTTTTCTGAGAACCTTCTGTTCTGCCAGCCTCAACATATTAGCCTTTGTTCCTTGGCTTATTCGTTACGGTATCAAGATGGGTTTCAATGGTTCAGACATTACTTCCGCATTATAGGAATACAGGATGGTATGAAAAGTGATCCTAATCCAACACCTCTCTCTTATTAGGGGCAAAAATCTTCTCCAGAAACCCCAGTATACTTTCCTTGCATATTGGTTATATTCTCGCTTTTCAGTCCACTGGGAAATAGAGTGAGAATAATCAAGATTGGCATAGACAAATCATGGTTTATCTTTTGGAAATGGGGGAAGAGCTCACCTTTCTTGAATAGATGGTTGTACATTCTCTGACCAAATCTGAAAGGAAAAATGGAAGGAGAAGGTGTTGAGTAGGCAATCAGTAGTATTTTTCACAAATGATAGGTCCAGCTGAGATC